ACGGCCTGCCCCGGCACGACAGGAGAGGGCGCGGGAGGCCTCGGCGATGCGTTCGTCCTGGACCCTGTCCAGGCGCTGCAGCCTGCCGGGAGGGGGGATCTGGGCGACATGGCCACGTCGTCGCCACCGGACCTTCTGGCTTCGTGGTGGCCGTCAGCGCCGTCGGCGCCGTCGTCGTCGCCGTCGTTTTCGCCGTCGCCGTCGACGCCGCTTTTGCTGTCGCTGCTCTCCTTCCGCCAGGTCACCTCAGTTCGCGGATCGCGCCCCGCGAGCGATGCGCGATGTTCTTCGAGCCCTCGCGCCTCTCCGTGCGCCTTCGGGGACGTCCGGGGGTCCGGATTCCGGGCGGCACGGAAGCTCTGCGGCCGACGTACGGCTACCCAAACGTGGGCCAAGGCCCCATGGAGGTACCCAGAGCTGAGCACGTGTCAATGTGGAGAGCCTGCAATGAAAAGCATGAGACATCTAAAGCTGGTGTTGATTACCCTCGTGCCAGCTGTGACAGGATAACCAGCAGGGGTGCCTGATGAAAGTTGCCGGGGAGTCCAGCGGAGACAGAGCGCCCTTGTGGGTGTGATTGGGTATGACTGCAGACGTCTCCCCCAGAAGCCACCTCCTCTTCATCCTCCTCCTCTTCCCCCTTCCCTCGTATCCTCATCCTGTCCTGCAGCCCAGCTGCTTCACCAATCCATCTCCCCCACCCTTTCCTCCTCTTTGCCGCTTCTCTTCCTCCCTCCCCAGCCGTCCCCCTCCCTCCAACTTGCCCTCCTCGTCCTGATCCTGTCCTCCCATACTGCTCCCCCCTCCTGCTCCCCCCTCCTGCTCCCCGCTCCTCCTTCTCCTCCTCCGCCTCTTCGTCGCGCCCCCAGACGCGTCGGTAGGATGAATGGGAGTTTCGCCTGAGACTTCCTTACTACTCATGTTTCTGAAGCTTAAGTGTGCAACAAATTCGAGGATGGAGGGCGGGTGTGTTTCAAAATGTGGCTATCGCCTTAGCAACGTGCAACATCGTCTTGGAAGTGTGCAACAATTTCAAAGATGGAGGGCGGGTGGTTTGCTGTGTATAATTCTCGCCTTAGCGCCGCGCACCGTCGTCATACAAACTTGCACCAACTTCAAAAATGGAGAGCGGTTCCTTTTCAGAATGCGGCTCTCGCGGAAGTTTGCAGCCGTCTGAAGGATTTGTAGGGTTGAGGTGCAAGAATTGCTGGTGCCCTGACACGACTTAGCACTGCCGGGACGCTGCAGTCACAGCGTCGATTCGCGGTGTGGTCCAAGGAATTGTATTCTGACACGACTTGGGGCTGTCAGGACCAACACAGACACGTTGATTTGCGGCGTTGGGATACCATCATTTGCATTTCGGTACGATTGAGGATTCCCAGTCGGGTATCTTTCAATGGAGCACTGGCCGCAATAGACACAATTTTGTGTATGGACCTATGAATAGGACACCTGTGAGGGTATATTGCAACATCGTTGGTGCGTCTTGGGTTTGCTCTGGTCCCCCTCCTCCATTCTCGTCTATGTTTCTTCTCATCCACTCCCTACCCCTCCCCTTCCTCATCATCACCACCACTATAACGATAAGCAACAGCCTCATCATCCTCATCATCATCATCATCATCATCAACATCATCATCATCATCATCATCATCATCATCACCACCATCATCATCATCATCAGCATCATCATCATCATCATCATCATCACCATCATCATCATCATCATCATCATCACCATCATCATCATCATCATCATCCTCATCCTCATCATCATCATCATCATCATCATCACCACCATCATCATCATCATCATCATCATCACCTCAACATAATCATCTCCATCATCATCATTATCATCACCACCATCATCATCATCATCATCATCATCACCTCATCATCACCATCGTTATATAATCATCACCAGCATCAGCTGCAGCAACATCATGTTCATCATAATTACCATCATCATCACCATCATCATCATATAATCGATTATCATCGTCATCATGATCATCAGCATCATCAGCAACAGCAGCCGCAGTAGCATCAGCATCAGCATCAGCCTCAGCCTCAGCATCATCAGCATCATCAGAATCATCATCACCATCTGCATCATCAGAAACTGCATCATCATATGCATCATCATTATCAGCAGCAGCATGAAGCATCATCAGCAGCAGCATCAGCATCACCATCATCATCATCACCACCACCACCATCATCATCATCATCAGCATCATCATTATCATCATCTCCATCGTCGTCTTCATCTTCATAACCATCATCAGCAGCAGCAGCAGCATCATACACATCATCATCATCAACAGCATCAGCAACAGCACCCTCGTCATCATCCTCACCACCACCATCACCAGATGTATCTTCCCTCGTATATCCTCTCCTCCGATCCTCACAGTCATGCTCCTGCCCCCTCCTGCTCCACCTCCTCCAACTCCTCCCCCTTCCTCCTCCTCCTCCTCCTACGCCTCCTCTTCCTCCTCTGCGGGTGGGAGCTCGTTGGGAGCTCACGCATCTCACAGTGCAGGGCAATTGCCAGCAAGAAGCAATCTCGGACGCCGCACCGACCACTAAAACTGCGCGAGCAGCCACGCGCCGTGGGTGCCACTGAGCACGTGATGGTGGCCATGCGCTCGCGCGCGCGCACGAGCACCGAGTGCTCGCGCACAGCTTCCGCCGCGAGGGCAAGCACGCCCGCCGAGCTCGGCCGTTCGCCAGCCCGGCTCAGTGCACGCCCCTCGCGGCCCGACGGCTGCGCCCCACGTGCCCGGCGCCGTCCAGCAGGGCGTTCGCGCGCCCGAGCCTCGCGGCCTCCGCGGCCCGGGCCCGGGCGTACTCGCCCTCGCCCGCCCTCGCGCACTGCGCCGGGCGGGCCTCCCCCTCGGCCCCGCGCGCCGCGGGCGGTGGCGGCGCGGCGGCGGGCTCCGCCTGCGCGCCCTCCGCGGGGCGCACCTCCACGACCTGGCGCAGGTGGGGCGCGCCGCCCTCGGCCGGCGCCGCGAGGAGCGGCGCCCCGTCGCGCGCCTCCGCCTGGACCCAGCCGGCGAGCGGGGCGGTGATCTGGAGCCAGCGCCCCTGGCGGGCGCCGCTGGCCGCCATGACCTCCTGGCCCGGGCGCAGCTCGCCCACGCGCGCGGCCTCGTCGCGGCCCGGGCGCGCGTACACGCCCAGGGCCGTCTCGGCGTAGCCGTGCGGCGGGCGGGCGGCGAGGCGCGGCACCTCCGTCAGGCGGGACGCCACCTCCAGCTGGGATCCCGCCGCCACCGCGTCGCTGGACAGCGGCGAGCGCGCGTGGGCGTGGGCGCGCACCGTGAAGCCCTCGCCCGAGGCGCCCGTGTACGCGAGGGTGAACTCCAGCACGTCGCCCAGCGCCGCGCTGCTCCCGAAGGCCGCCAGCGCCGCGGGGGGCGAGGGCGCCCCCGCCGGGGGCAGCGAGGGCGCCAGCGCGAGCAGCCTCCCGTGGGGCACCTTGCGCAGCAGGTGCCTGCACGGGCCCACCAGCCGCAGCGGCCCGCCGGTGAGGTTGCGCACCTCCAGCTCGTACAGCCGGACGCCGCCCTCGCCGCCCGCAGCGGCGTCGGCGCGCGGCGGCGACGACGGGGCGCCGAGCGCTCCTGCCAGCGGAGGCAGAGGGGGCGGATACGGAGGGCCACATTGCCACACGTGAAGGAAACCTTCGTCGCGCAACAGAGGACACCAGGGCCAGGGCACCCTTGATTTGGCAGGGTCGGCCTACTGATCAAACTCGACCACAGCCCAAGGGCGGACACTACACGCATCCACACTGTGGATAGGTGCAACGCAGACATGCGGCGATCTGAGTTTTCCAATGCGCGGCCCCAGAGATTCCGACCCCTTCCCTTGAGCAAAGTCTTCACCCCGAATACGTGTACGATGGCCCCGGGGACCCGAACAAGGGGCCGAAATCGAGAACAATCACCCCGACTGAAAAAACATGCAGTGAAGGCCCCCCCCTCTAGACCCCCAGCGCCGTGTTTCTGTTCACGACGTGGATCCCCCAGACGTCTAGACCCACTCCCCAGAGCCGGCTTTTCGAACTGAGTCGTTTGTTGACAGGCCCAGGGCGCGGCGAGGGCTCCCCCAAAGGAAAACTGTTATCATGGCGAAGGACCCAACCATTTGCAGCTGCGAGTATCGCGTGCAGGTGAAGGCCGTCGACCGCTGGGGCCTCCGGTCGAGCTCCCTACCGGGCCGCGAAGCGTGCGAGGGGTGCGCCGAATCAGGTGCGGATAGGACACCTCGTGCCGACCTTACCGCTGGCGCCCTTCGAGGGAGCCCCCCGAGGGGCCACGACACGTGTGACGCGTGTGCCGAGTCGGGTGCAGGTGCGCCGTGCGGACTGTGCCGCTGGGGCCTTCGGTGGAGCTCCCCCCTCTGGGGCCACCGACGCGTGTGAGGCGTGCGCCGAGTCGGGTGCGGGTGCGCCGTGCGGACGGTGCCGCTGGGGCCTTCGGTGGCCCAGCGCGGGTCCAAGAAACCCGCGCGGAGCGCCAGAAGTGTATGTTTGTGGCGTGTTTCTTCTTCCACGCTTACTCCGCACGGACTCGTAGGGGCTGAGGGGTGTGACAAAGTGAGAGGGTGACGGGAGGAGGAGGAGGAGGAGGAGGAGGAGGAGGAGGAGGTCTTCAGTATCCCATCAGAAGGGGCTGAGTCCGGACTTGGCTGACATCTGGTGCGCGACCTTCGTGGGCCGCGCGGAGGCAGGAACGGAGCCCGGGCGCGAGAGGCCGCTGCCACACCGCAGCGCAGTCAGCCGGCAGGGGACCCCCCGGTGCTCGCACCAATAGAAGTTTCCTACAAGGCAATTGCTAATACATAGGATGTTCAAACATGTCGGATGTTTAATCCATGAATAAGTTATGAATAAATGTATGCATGAACTCATCGTTGTTTTTAATACTAAATCCCTGCATGTTTAATACATGATCCGCACGCGGAGCATGTATGAAAAACGGCACTGTAGAAGCCTCCTAGATGGGGTCGGAGTAGATTGGGGTCGGAGGATCGCGCCGCGTCGCCGATACACCGCCGATGCATCGGCGATGCATCGGCGGTGCACCAGTTATGCATCGTCGACGTCGGCGATGCATCGACGACAGTCGACGTGAAGCAAATTGGGCTGCATATCTAGCCGCATCGTCGATGCATCGGCGATGTGGCGCGATCCTCTGACCCCATCAACTCCGACCCCATCTGGGAGGCCTAGAACCAAAGGTCCTTTCGGCGAGGGGTCGCTCTTACGCATAGCCGACTCGACGGAGTAATTACGCCCCGACGGAGTACGGGGAGCGTAGCACTCCGCACGGTAGCATCCTCTGATTACCCGCCCTTGTGTTGGCGGAGCGCACGACTGGGTAGGGGGAAGAGGGGAGGGCTGCTTGGAAGGAGGCCGCTTCTTAGAAGGCGCTGGCCGTGTATCAAGGCCCGCGCCTTCTCAGAAGCAGGGATGATTCTATGCAGCCTTCCCCCCTCCCCCGTACCTCGGCTACAGTTAGGTCGGGCCTGTCCCCCTACAGCGGGATTTTGGCCAAAAACTAAAAAAACATACCAGAAAAAATGCCCCCCAAATTTTCAAATGCCCCCCAAATCTTCAAAATAGTCAAAAAGTCGTCCCCAGACTATGTTCGGACTATCTTTGAATACTCCCCCTGTAGAGGGACAGGCCCGACAGAAGGCTGCACCGCAGGGGTGGCACTGGGCAGGAGCGTGGCCTCTGGTGCGCGGCCCGCCGACGGCTGCGCTCGCTGCGGCAGCGGCGCCCCGCGCGAGCTTGTGCTTGGCCGCGACGCGCCCCCCGTCCTACTGCGACGACGACGACGAGTGTCACTACTACTGCTACGACTTCTACGATTGTTATGACGATCACTGCTACTATTACAACGACTGTTATCTCCTAACTGCGGCGATCACGAGTCCCGCGCACTGGAGCTGGAGGCCTCCCAGGTGGGGTCGGAGCAGATGGGGCCGGAGGATCTCGCCGCATCGCCGACGCATCGTCGATACACTGGCGAAGCACCAGAAGATCGGGCCCCGTATCGATCAGCATCGCCGACGATGAATCGGCGATGCGGCGCGATCCTCCGACCCCATCTATTCCGACCCCATCTGGGAGGCCTAGAATACAGGTCACTCCGGCGAAGGGTCACTCCTGCATGTGGCCGAATACTCCCCCAAACATCAGGCGTCTCGACTTCTTCGAGACACGGGCCCCCGACCCGGCGAGGGCCTCGAGAAACCGAAAACGAGGAAAAACCTCCGTCCCTGAGATCCGACGGTGCCAAACAAGTGCAACACCGCAAGAAGCCACGACCAAAGCCCCGGACCCCATCTTCCCGCGTCACGCTTCGAGCCGGACCCATCTGTGAGGGTCCTGCTGGGGCCGGGAGCCGGGCGGAACGGCCCGGCCCCGAAGAGTGGCCCAGACATGCGGCGTCCAGAGTTGTTCAGGACGACACCCCTGAAATCCCGACCCTTTCCCGAATCGCTCTTCGACGGCCCTAAAACCACGCGAAGATCGGGACCAAATCGGATCGGGATACCTCGAAATCTCGGAGAACCGGCGATGTTTGGAGGATGTACTGGGCGCCGCGGCCGCTCCAGAGCGTTCCGGAACGCTCTGAGAGCGCTCCGGAACGCTCTGGAGCGATTTATCCCGATCCTAGCCCTGTTTTACCTCCTCATCAGGATGCCAATCTTAGGGATTCCCTTACTTGTTGAGGGCGAAGCCCTACGATTGTCATCGCCTTTTGGCGCGTCAATCTTAGGGATAGGGATAAGCTCGAGGCTGGCGATTTATCCCGATCCCCGCCCTGTTTCCCTGTTTTAGGCCCCGAGTCGTCCCGACTCGTCCTTCGAGGCCCGGCTGTTCGCCCGCGAGGCTGTTCCCGGCCGGCACCTCGTCCCGAGTCCTCCTCTTCGACGGCCCCGAGGGCCTGGCGAGGGCACGGAGAAGAGCGACGACCTCCCGCCCTGATGCCTGCAACGACGCGAGCATGTCTGGGGCTGCAGCGCGAGGAGCTCGGGGGCCAAGGCTGCTTCGAGGCGCCAGGGGCAGAGAGGCCCCTGGGACACACGAATGAATACACACACAAATAAGAGGACTCCCCATGTTTTCCGATGTTTTCTGGGTCTCTGTCTTCCCCCCCACTTCCCATATTTTCCCACATTCTCCTGGAAAATCGACGATTCATTGTGTCTGTGTGTTTCCTTTCCTCCTGAAGGGGTCTGGGCACCCCCCGCTGCGCTCGGCGTGGCCCCTCGTTGCAGCCGCCGCTCCTCGCGGCGGCCCGCCCGCGGCCCCGCCGCGGCCCACCGCGGCCGCGCCCGCGGCGAGGAGCGCCGGCGCGGGGCCGTCTTCGCCGGCGCGCGGCCGCCCCCGCGGGGTCGCGGCCGGCCCCTGCATGCCGCCCCCGCTGCGCGTCCCACTGCTCGCAGAGGACCTGCTCGGATGGGCCGATTTTCCACCACCACTACCACAGGCAGGAGAGGGAGGAGGAGGAGGAGGAGGAGCTCCCCATCCTTCCTCCTCCCCCGTCCTACAGAGGTTCTTTGTGGTATCGGCCCATCGTGCTCGCAAATGGTATTGGAGCCGCCGCGGGGGATCTATTCGATCTATACCCACGTCGATGCGAGCATGAGCTTTTTGGACGTGTGCGAGAAGGCGCTTTACTACGAGTAGTGGAGCGCGCTCGGCCCACGCCGGAGGGAACGAGAAAAACGAGGACCACGACCCAGACCGCCGGAGAGACAGCGACGCAAGCATAAAAACTTGGAGATCCGCGCGGATTCCTCGGATCGGCGCTGGAGCTCCCTGGCGGCGCCTCCAGTGCCACCCCTGGCGCGCTCCGCGCGCCAGGGAAGGGGATCCATCGCCGACCTCCGAATTTCATGTTTCTGTCCTAGCTTGTTCCCTTAATCCTGGCGTCCCGAAAAGTCGAGACGGGGATTTTCCTCGTGTTCGGTCTCTCGGGGCCCTTGCCGGGCCTCGGGGAGTCAAGAAACGACGAGCGACGAGAAACCTGTCCCTGGGAAGTGGTCGAGAGGTCGGGGGCCCGCCAGATACTTGGGGATCAGGACTGAACGCGTAAGCGTTAGTGCCGATCTCGGTCACCGTCCATCTTGGCCACCGACGATTCATGGATCATCGTCGCGATTCGGCGACGGCCAGCATGGACCATGACCAAGACTTGAGCAGGGACCGGCCGTCCGGGCATCCCTGTAGGCCTACCACGACATGGTTTTCGAACTCTAAGAACAACAGCAACCACAACGCTTTTAGAACAGAACCCCGATGTTCTAAAACAAGACAGGTCTCGGCCAGAGATGCTCCAAGAACACGTCGTGCAGAACACAGCAGGTTCTTGGAACATCCTTTGATGGCCCCATCGGCGAGCCAGAACGCCTCGCCACGGCCTGGAAGACTGGCGTCGACGAGCTGCCGCGACATCTTGGCCATGGTCCTCTGTCTCTTCCCTCGACGCGCGGCGCGCTTCGCGGGGGGCTCGAGGCAGGAGCCTGGGCCCGAGCCAAAGTGGCTGCGGGAGTCGCACGGGCAGACGAGGCGGGGCTCGCCGCCGACGCCGCCCGCCGCGGGGAGGGAGGATCGAGGAGGAGGAGGAGGAGGAGGAGGAGGAGGAGGAGGGCGGAGGAGGGGGAGGAGGAGGAGGAGGAGGAGGAGAGGAGGAGGAAGGAGGAGGAGGAGGAGAGGGAGGGAGAGGGAGGAGGAGGAGGAGGAGGAAGGAGGAGGGAGGAGGGAGGAGGAGGAGGGAGGAGGAGGAGAGGAAGAGGCTCCCCCCTCCCTTCCCTCTCGCCTCCCTCCCCCGTAGGCGGCCCTCTCTCTCCCTCCCCTAGGGGGCCACGTGCGAGCCCTGCCCCTACCAGAGGAAAGAGAACTATGCGCATACACCGATTCTGGCCAGGCCCATCCTGAGCCCAGGATCGGTGCACACGCCCTCCTACTTTGGCGAGGAGGGCGTATGCACGGTCCTGGGTCGAGGGTGAGCCTTGCCAGGATCGGTGCGGGTGCGTAGTTCTCTTCGCCCGACATGGGGGCTCTGGTCGTGGGTTTTCGCCATTCGCACGCTCCCGCAGCCGCGGGTCTCAGGGAAAGAAAAAGAGAGAGAAAGAGAGAGAGAGAGAGAGAGAAAGAGGGAGAGTCAAAGTTGGGGAGAGAGAAAGAGAGAGAGAGAGAGAGAGAGAGAGACGGAGAGGGTAGGGAGAGGGAGGGAGAGAGATAAAGAGGAAGGCAGATTTCGTGCCCCACCCCCTTTTCCCAGACCCCTCCTTCCATCCTCCGCGGCCCTTCCTGGGGACCCGTCTTTCATCTTTCATCCCGAACGATTCCTTACTGCCCCGATGCACGCAAGAAAAACGCGGGCGCCGAACATTGCGAAAGTAACACAGCGCGCTCTGTGTCTCGACGCCCTCCGGGGTGAGTCGCGCAGTTGTTGCTGAGGTCAGACCTCCATACGGTTCAGGAGCAAGACGGCGCCAGGACGAGGGTAAAATCTGGCAAGGATAAATCGAGAATCTCTGAGATCTGGCGGCTCTGGAAAATGTCTCGAGCGCCGCGGCCTTCTCAGACCGTTCTGGAAGCGTTCCGGGACGCTCTGGAACGGATTGATCCTCGCCCTGGCCCCGCCCGACTTTGACGCACTCTGTGCCGCGACGCCTGCCAGGGTGCGTCGCGCAGGTGTTGCTGAGGCTGGAGAGCCTCCAGACGGTTCAGGAGCAAGACGACGCCAGGACGGGGGTAACAGCCCAGGGGCGCACACACATGGACCAGCGCTCCCTGGAGTTGGCGCGCGGTCGCCAAATCCATGCATCGAGGGAGGTGCCCTCCCCACAATGCGGCGGAAGCCGCCTCGCTCGGCGGTGGAACTCCGCGATCTCCCATGGAAACGGGACCCGCCGCTGATCCACGCCCCCTTTGATCCATGCTTGCGATCGCCGGAACATCGGGCAGGAGGCCCCCGCCTCTCTCCCAGAGACTCCCCCGCGCGCGCGCGAGGTGCGCCTGAGGGGAATCTGGGAGCGCCCTGAACGCATCGGCTTCTTCAAGGGCCGCGGGAAGTCGCCGTGCAGCGCGCAGAGCAAAGAAACCCAGGATACCCTGGCGAAAAGCACATGGTTTCGTGAGGCGCGCCTACACTGTAATCCACGCCCCCTTGATCCATGTTGACGATCTCCCATGGGAACGGGACCCGTCGCTAATCCACGCCCCCCTGATCCATGTTTGCGATCGCCCGACCCCCGCGCTCTGGGCGCAGAAGATGAAAGGGGCCCTGGGACACACAAATAGATACACACAAGTAAAAGGATTCCCCATACTTTCCCATATGTTCTGGGTCTGTCTCCCCCCACACTTCCCATATTTTCCCCATATGTTCCTGCCCCTCCCCCAGAGACCCCCAAGACGCCTCCGAGCCCCAAGGGGCCTCCCACAGGGGCCTCTGACCCTCGGCCCAGGCACGGTGGCGGCATGGGCCAGAGGTCATCACAGCCAGACCGTCGTCGTCGTCGTCGTCGTCGTCGTCGTCGTCGTCGTCGTCGCCGTCGCCGTCGCCGTCGCCGTCGCCGTCGCCGTCGCCGTCGTGAGAGAGCGCATCAGATGTACAGCCGGACCCAGGAGAGACTAACATTCTTCAGGGGCATGAGACTCTTTCTCCCAACCCTGCTTGGTTGGGCATTCGTTTTGAATGGAGCACTGTGGTCGCGTCCCTCCTCCTCCTCCTCCTCCTCCTCCTCCTCCTCCTCCTCCCCCTCCTCCTCGTCCTCCTCCTCCTCCTCCTCCTCCACCCGCCTCCCGCCTCTTCCTGCCCTCTTTTCGCCGCCGATGGGGGCTGCGATCTGCGAAACTGTCGCCACTTGCGAGGGCTGCTGGTGGGTCCTGCGAAGTGAGGCACCGCGCGGACCTGAGCGGGACCTCGCCGTCCCCTGGGAGGCTACGATCTGCGAAACTGTCGCCGCTTTCGAGGGCTGCTGGTGGGTCCTGCGGACTGGGCACCGCGCGGACCTGAGCGGGACCTCGCCGTGCCTGGTGGGCTGCGATTTGCGGAACTGTCGCCACTTTCGAGGGCTGCTGGTGGGTCCTGCGGACTGAGGCACCGCGCGGACCTGAGCGGGACCTCGCCGAGCCTGGGAGGCTGCGATTTGCAAAACTGCCGCCACTTTTGAAGGCTGTTGGTGGGTCCTGCGGACTGAAGCACCGCGCGGACCTGAGCGGGACCTCGCCGTCCCTGGGGGGCTGCGATCTGCGGAACTGTCGCCAGTTCCGAGGGCTGCTGGTGGGTCCTGCGAAGCGAGGCACCGCGCGGACCTGAGCGGGACCTCGCCGTGCTTGGGGGGCTGCGATCTGCGGATCTGTCGCCGCTTTCGAGGGTTGCTGGTGGGTCCTGCGGACTGAAGCACCGCGCGGACCTGAGCGGTACCTCGCCGTGAGTGGGGGGCTGCGATCTGTGAAACTGTCGCCGCTTTCGAGGGCTGCTGGTGGGTCCTGCGGACTGACGCACCGCGCGGACCTGAGCGGATCCTCGCCGTGCCTGGGAGGCTGCGATCTGCAAAACTGCCGCCACTTTCGAGGGCTGCTGGTGGGTCCTGCAGACTGGGGCACCGCCCGGACCTGAGCGGGACCTCGCCGTCCCTGGTGGGATGCGATCTGCGGAACTGTCGCCACTTTCGAGGGCTGCTGGTGGGTCCTGCGAAGCGAGGCACCGCGCGGACCTGAGCGGGACCTCGCCGTCCCTGGGGGCTGCGATCTGCGAAACTGTCGCCGCTTTCGAGGGCTGCTGGTGGGTCCTGCGGACTGAGGCACCGCGCGGACCTGAGCGGGACCTCGCCGTGCCTGGTAGGCTGCGATCTGCGAAACTGTCGCCGTTTTCGAGGGCTGCTGGTGGGTCCTGCGGTTTGAGGCACCGCGCGGACCTGAACGGGACCTCGCCGTGCCTGGAAGGCTGCGATCTGCAAAACTGCCGCCACTTTCGAGGGCTGCTGGTGGGTCCTGCGGACTGAGGCACCGCGCGGACCTGAGCGGGACCTCGCCGTCCCTAGGGGGCTGCGATCAGCGGATCTGTCGCCACTTTCGAAGGCTGCTGGTGGGTCCTGCGGACTGAGGCGCCGCGCGGACCTGAGCGGGACCTCGCCGTGCGTGGGGGGCTGCGATCCGCGAAGCTGTCGCCACTTTCGAAGGCTGCTGGTGGTCCTGCGGACTGAGGCGCCGCGCGGACCTGAGCGGGACCTCGCCGTGCCTGGGGGGGTGCGACCTGCGAGCCTGCCGCCATTGTCGAAGGCTGCTGGTGGGTCCTGCGGACTGAAGC